CAAAATTTTATTTATAGCATAAGCCGGTAAACGTGCAGACGAATCACCTGATAGTAAGCAATCGGCGCCGCCCATGGACACTCGAAACACCAAGGCGTTACAAGTGCGTTATCAGCCTTTTGGGAATTGGGAATTTGAGGATTGTGGAGGATTCGGGGACTCAGGAGACGGGGATTCGGGAGACGGGGACTAGGGACGGGGACTAGGATAATTGGGCCTCCGGTAACCTCATTCACACGACGAAACACAACGCAAGCGTTGCTTTACGTCGATTTTCTGTAAGGCCGTGGTATCACTCCGGTCGAGCCGGCCGATTCGTGCCGAAGCATGGCTTTCCCACACTAAACATAACACAACATCACGCCTTTTCACCTCGAAGCAGTAAGCAGAGGTGCACAATACGGCACCAATACCTTGTTCGCACTATGCTAGTATTTTAGTCAAGTAGCAGAGTATTTATAGTTAATCTCTCTCGCTTCGATTTTGGGGCAGAAGCAAGAGATCCTTCTTGGGCAATATTAAATACTCGCTGTTCGACTAAAATACTAGCATAGTGCGAACAAATCATTAAAGCTAATAAAACGGTTCTAAAACGAGGTTCGCAACTTCCTAGCATACGGTGTTTCTTAACTTGAGGCCCCCATCAAGTAAAGAAACAGCGTTTACTAATTATAAGATGAAATTATCCACCAAATAATCAGTAACTATACTTCCAGAGACATAAACATAACATCATGTCTTTTATCCCAAAGGGGTAGGCTGAGATGCACATTACGGCACTTAATGCCACTGTACAATGTGACACTCACTTTTCACTATTCATGTTATGAGTCCCAAGTAATAGGGGGTGATCCTATTACCATATACCGGGCACGATTCCAGACACTGTGCTACTATTGACATTAAAAAAAAAACCCAGTAGTACTTTGCCCGACCCGGAAATCGAACCCGAGACCCCTTGCCCGGCAGTCGCACTCACGGCCGCTCGGCCAACGAAGCAGCCAACACAACTACTTTCAGAGACACTCTGTATAATAAAGATTATGATACATCGATAAATTATATCCCAAGGTCATTGAACCTATATAATAACATCTATCTATAACAAGATTTAGAAGTAGGCTCTTATAGTGCTAAAGCGCTGTAGGCTTCACAGTTTCGGATAGACGTTGATAAATGACCCGTTCATCACGCCGTCCTTAGTTTTTATACAACGAAATACATACATATAAATAAATATATAAATATTTGATGTTGATCGAATAGATTGCTATGGAATTTTCTCGAAAAAAAGTGTTGTAAGAAAATATTCGTGTATTTAGTCTGTTGGCGACGGGCACGTCTTCTAATCGAGTGGTTGCTCTCGAGTAGGATAAAGTACTGTTGTGTTGATGTAGTATTTTGAACTATGGTTGCTTTTGGTAAAAGGTTAGTTGAATCGAAACTTTTCTTTGAAACTCATATTATGTAGGTGGATTAATGATTAAACGACTTGCATTGATTTTACTGGCAATTATTATTTTACAACATAACATCACGCCTTTTAGCCCCGAAGAGGTAGGCAGAGGCGCACATTACGGCACTTACTGCCACTACACAATGAAACGCCCACTTTTTCACTATTTATGTCGTGAGTCCCATGTAATAGGGGGTGAGCCTATTGCCATATACTGGGCACATGTCCAGACAGCGTGCTACTATTGAGATTTTTTAAAAACCCAGTAATACTTTGCCCGACCCGGGAATTGAACCCGAGACCCCTTGCCCGGCAGTCGCACTTGCGACCACTCGGTCAACGAGGCAGGTATTATTTTACATTTACAATTATATTAGACGGACAGAGCACACGTCGAGTCCACACAAAAAAGTATGGCAGATAGATAGTGTCTTTGTGACAGTTGTTAACGTTATAGATGCAATTGGGATGATGACAGGGTATGAAAATTAAAAATCTAATTAGTCCGTAAGTTAGGTAATGAAAAAATATTAGACACGTATTTTTTTATTTTGTCGTATAATAAAACAATACTTAGATAAATCGAATCAAAGTTTAGGAGTGGGGGCTAAAACGTCATTTCTACGAATAAAATGTACATAGAAGTGACGTCACACGACATTTCAAATCAATGTATCGTCGAAAATATTCGTTTCTGTAAGAAAATAAAAAATACGTGTCTAATGATTTAAAATAATCTACCAGACGGACATTAAAATAAAAATTAGGCATCTACCCTATAATAGGGTTGGAGCCATCACTTACTAAATTAGTGATGATCATGCTTGTAACAACTTAAGTTTCTTCATTAGTTTAGTAGTTTTCTCGCAATGTGAAGGTATCGGGTCTATAGTCCTATAGTGGACAATTACGAGCTCTTGACGATGATATAAATACGTATGTTTGAACTTAACTACAAATATTTCTATATCGTCCAGCGTACCTATATAGATCTGTGGCAATTAAATATACTAAAATCATATCGCAAACAAAATTAAAGAAGTAGGTAATGATAGTACAAGTGATTTGAAATCAAATTCTAATCAAAATCCTTTGAATTAATCAGTAATTAATTAGCCCTTTTATTAATTACTTAATCTTAAGTTCGAATGATAAATAATGAATAAATATTAATTTAGAATCTAGTTTCAAGTCTTCCATGATTAATCTTATTTTCTATTTGCGTCTCAAAATGAGATTTGCTTAATGAATAGTTCTATATGAGAAAATGTGTACCTAACTTATGTGTTGATCTAACTGATGCTCTTGATACATTATAATATTATGGTAGTATTATAATTGTGAAACCAGCTATCGTTATACTAAAATAAAAAAACAAATTTGTTTATTGTGCAATACCAGCTATAAGATTATAATTTGTTTGTTTGTTTGTTTGTTCCACTTTAACGCCGTAACTACTAAACCAAATGCTTTGAAATTTTGCAGACGTAAAGTTAGAAGTCCGGATTAAATAATAGGATACTTTTTATCCCTGAAAAATTTGATATTCCCGAGGGAAAACAAAAGTATTGGTATAGATGGCGCTGTGTGTATTGTGTGCTGTTGTATATATCACATTGGCTTTTTATCCTTTTGTGACGCGAGCGAAGCCGCGGGTAAAAGCTAGTAATAATAATATATTTTAAATCGACTGCACGGTTGGTGCGGTGGCTGGGCAACCGGCTACCGTGCAACATGTCGCGGGTAGGACTTCCGTACGGAACAACACTTTATGTAATCCACAAATTGTTGTTTCGGGTCTGGGTGTGATGTGTATGTAAAATTATATGTTTGTTAACGCACCCACGACACAGGAGAAAATCCTAATGAGGGGCAATGTTTTTTAATTTTTTTTATTATAAGTACATTTGGAAAATCAACAGCAATTTGATTAAGTAGTATGTGGTATGGTACAAAATACCAATTACTGATTTCCACGATTAGTAACAGAGAATAGAAACTTGCCATACTAATACTAAAACTACTAATAATAATTAAGCTGTAGGCAGGAATATGAATGAATGATCAACGGACAGTTCTATTATAAAATGTCTGCTTATGAATTAATTTTCATAACCTTATTGCAAACCCAAGTACACATACGTGTCTCGGAGAACCTAACGGGTAACCGGGGCTCCGGCTCGACGTGCAGGAGAAGGAACGGGGTGGTTTTTAGTCAGTAAGAGTCTGACACTCCCTTCCGCCTCACCCAGGCGGGAGCAGTCATTCGATGATTTTCACCCCTTAAAAAAAAAGTACACATACGTGTCAACAATGTCCAGAAAATTGGAACTGTCATCGAGCATGTACAAAACTATGAGGATAATGTACCTAACTGCCTACTCTTTAACTCCTACATTTACCCTTTTTACTGTGGTTGACAGGTGACATCTTGTGCCCATAATCATATAAAAGGGACCACAATATACTTCAGCATTGACCGTATCTCAAAGAGATTTATAATTCCCCTCCGAAGGTGTCTTGTCGATATTCCTCGCTCGTTCACGTTCATTGAATATTGGTTTCTCGTATATTATATGCGAATAGACAGGTACGAATTGTGTTTTGTCTGGAGGGAGGTAGGTATTGGAGGTTTATAGAGTGATGCTGTTGGTTATAATTGTTTTTTTTTTTACTACAAAGTATGCCGTGAATTTAGCCACATTTGTGGTTCTGATCTAGATTACGGAATCGGAAATGTCTTAGGATTTAAATGTATTGATATATAACAACTCATCAAAATAATCTGTACAACTATTGCAAATATGTCTACCCCATCCCTGTCCGGTAGAAAACAGTAATTGTATCACTACGCAAAGATAATTACGAAGCCACATTTATAAGCACAAACTCAAATTGAAAGCTGTAAACCTATATCAAACCCTGAAGCCCGAATAATAAATACTAACTTTCCCTCATGAAGTTATCAAGTATCATCATGGCCGAAGTTGGGAACAGGGAAAGTAATAATAACGCGTACATTTCACTTTTACCCGAAAACTCTTCATCCTACGATAGGCCGGTGTTCGGGCAGAAATTGGACATAAAAAAAACTATTTATTGTGCCATAAATCTGAAAAAGTTTGAGCAAAGCCGACGCGAGAGATTGTGTGAATGAAACCTTTGTGGTTTTATATGAGAACCGTAAACTGTTTAACGTCCCTCTGTATAGGAAAATTGTGTAAAAGTTTACCCAGTATAAATAAATATAAACACGTTATGAAATATTGTTTTTATAAACAACACCTACACATACACACATTGGGTTCTATTTCGTTTATAGGCTACTAAAACCTACGAAACGTTATTTTGAACTGAAACTTATTTAATGTAGTAATGAAGAATAATTATAAAATTAATATTTAGCACCAAAGCCAGTTGAAATTGAAACTCGATTAAGTAATTTACTTAAATAGATCTCTAAGAACCAAACTTCATTTTGAACTCTTTGAATTTAACATGCTTAGAAGCACTTCTTTGAACTCAACATGTCTCTTGTTCCCAGGTGATCTCTTCGTGTTGGTATTTGCGATGGACAGCCGCGAGTCCTTTGAAGAAGTGATACGGCTTCGGGAGCAGATCCTGGAGACGAAGGCTAGTGCTAGCAGTGGGAGTAGCAGAGGTCGTCGCCAGGCACCCAGAGTTCCCATGGCCATTGCTGGAAATAAATGCGACAGGGATCTTAAGTAAGTATACATTTTTTAAGTCATAATAACATTCGGCTAAAGTATGTCGGTTTGTAGTGTTGTAAATTGATTTTGACTTTAGTAGATGGCGTCACTATCGAGATTGGTCATGCATGACTATTAAACAATTTTAAATTGTTTGTGAAAAAGTTTATGTTCATTTTGGTTGATAATGGCTTGATAAAAGTACGTACGAATCGCAGATGACTGATCGTTTTTATATTACAAATAAATGCTCATTCAAACAGCAGTGTGACGTTTAGTTTCATAAAGTTACAATATCTACTCTAAAATATATCAAAGTTCTAAACTTTTATCTCTCCAAGGAGAAAAAAAGTCCAATAAATCCTAGATTATCCTAATTAGTTTTATAGCTCAAGTTAAAATTAATCCCGGTTGTCTTGATTAAAAGTTTTTATACCGAACGACTACACCGAAACGAAAAATTGTATTCGCTCAAGAAAACGTTTTAAAAGCAATTAATTCTTAATTTACTTAGAAAGAATTAAAGGGAACAGATGGCACTTCTAAGTAACTGATAAGTCAACAAAAACTGGTTTCGAGGTAATTTATTTAGCTTTACATCTAATCAAACATCGTTTTGACTTTCGTTCAGGTTTTTGTACGAAAAAGAAATTTCTTTAAGATTTTTCCTCTCGCAAAACGTATTTTTACAGGATCTTATCTCTTTACCTTTCCTTAATTTTACTTTTTATCTGCGCACACCTAATTTAGAACATTCGATTCGATATCCCATTAGTATTTTACGTGTAACACATTCTTGATTAGATCGAACTTATTTATAAAAAATCATAATAATGAAAAAATAATAATAATGAAAAAATAATAATACCTAATGAAAAAATAATAATAATGAAAAAAAATAAATAAATTATAAGGCATCAAAGAAAATATTTTCCTCATCGCTACCGTGAGGTAGGGTGCCCAAAAGACTGGCAGCATTGCCACGTTGAATGGCAATGCTTAACCTTTGCCCAAGGTAGTAGCCAGCCCTTCGATCACCTGAAGTGTCAACCATCCTCCTTACAATATCTTTGTAAAGAAGATGTGCACTTGGGCCCCACGGCCCTAAAGTTTCAACCCCAAACGGTTCGAAAGCATAATTGCCAATCAGGCTATTATACTTTCGCCGTTTGAGGTTCTCGGCAGCGGCAGCGGCAGCACCGGCTCGACACGCTGAGCTTGGAAGATGGGATGGCGCCAGAGTATCAACGCAAGTGGCGTCCCATACTAAAGCCCTACCCATCTTCCAAGGGAATAATGACATACCGTCGGGTCTCTTGCCATCGTCGCGTACCAAGCCATTAGGTTCTAAAGTAGCTGGCACGCCAACGGAGGCAAGAGCTCGACGAATTATGTCATTAATACTTGCGTGTCGAGCAAAACGGCCCGCACTACGGCTACATGACAAGCCGTGGTGTCCAAGGCTGTTGACAACTTCACCACAACGACAACGATGAGGTGAACAAAATGAAGCTCCAAGCCTTAAACAAATTGCAGCGCGGAACGTGGTGTCGTCCAACAAAGTACCTAGGTTAGACGAAGGTAAAGCAAGAAGCCATAACCCCGACTCCCACTCACCCACAGCCAAAAGGCGAGCTCTCTCTGCAGTTGAACAAGAGGAGTTCGAAAGATTTTCGCTCACTTTTCTGCAGAGCGGCTCGTCCCATTGTCTCTGGGAGAGTGATTTGACAGGGGGGTCAATATTTGGGCAAGCGATTTTCCAAGCATTCACAGCTTCCACTAAATATGGTACATCAAAATTAACCAGTGATTGAGAAAGAATTTTCCTGGTTAATTCTTTAGTACCATGGGCGGAAGATATGAAAGCCGGTAGGCTTACACTGGAAATTTTACGGACGCCAAGCCCACCCATGCGGACAGGCAGAGTGGCTTGTGTCCAAGCTCGGTCATCAAGAGCCACATTCAAAATTAAGGACAGGGTTCGCCTAATAATTTGGTCAATTTTTTCTAAAAGAAGGGGTGCAGACCAGAGGTGGGTCGACCGCAAAAAGTACATAAATTTGGGACCAAAGCAACAAAACCGAATAATAGTATAAGCCGAATGCATTCTAATGTTATATAGTTTTTCTGAAACGACAGAAAAATTTTGAATTTTTTCTTCAATAAAACTTGGAAAAGAGTCCTCGAAGACGGGCGCACCTAGGAGGCGAAGTGAACACTTATCAACCACCGAGATATTAGGCGCAAAAGTATTAAATTTTGTTATGGTCTGTCTGTCGGTAGAGTCATCTAAAAATATCTCACATTTGGAAAAATTTAGGTCAAGGCCAATAGCATGAAGTTCGTTTTTTAATAATATGAAGTCATTTAATACTGTATCGGCATCGCCTCCCAGGGTACCGTCATCGAGGTACCAAACATTAAATTTGGAATTTAGCTGTCGAATAATAGGATTAATAGCCAGGCTAAAAATCACTGGTCCAAGGGGATCGCCTTGTTGACAGCCAACGGCTGATTCCAAAAGGTTGTCCTGATATAATAATTTGGTAGGATGTCTATAACATTGCCAGAGAAAACTGAAAATTTGGGGTACTTCTTTTTTAACTTCTGTCAACATAGTATCCCTATTGACCGAATTAAAGGCATTCTTTATGTCAACCTTCAGGATGATATCACCTTTCCTAGAATTCAGATAGGTCGACAACGCATGCACGGCAGCCTCGCAGCCCCCTCTCGATCCATACCCGAGTTGAAGGGGCTGGAATTTTTCCGAAAGGTGATTATTATAAAATTTGCAACAAATCTTGGCTGCCATGCGACGATAAGTTGTTCCCACAGCAATGGGACGAATACCGCCATCCTTCTTGCGAAGGGCACATAAATTGGCCCCGTACAAAACGTCGATGACAGATGCGTGCACATTGCCGGAGAGCATAAGATTGACCAAAGCCGTAAGCTCCTTCAGCAGCGTCACGCCGGACTCCCCGGCGCTTGAGCTCGTCAGATCTTTGAGATGCTGCGGCGTCAAACCGTCGAGGCCTCCGGCAGAACCGGTCCGGAAGGAGCCTATGGCAGTGACCACTTGTCGACCTGTAACAGATAGGGTATGAATATCTGCTTCTGGAGGATCCGGAAAAGAGAGACCATCTACTGGGGCCGGGTGTTTGCTCTCCAGAGCTTTAGCGTAATCTGGAGAAATGGGGCCAGTAGTCGTTGTGGAAAATAATCCTGGCTGCACCACTGATATCACCTTCACCTATTTTGGCCTCAACTAAATCCGCTAAAGTTTTGGTTGAGGCATAGCTGCAAGCCGGTAATTTTGGGTCGAATTGGGAAGCCGAAATGCAATTTTCTTTAATTTGTTTGGTTAAAGAATTTTGAAGAGCCAAATTCTTTTTGACGTGTAAGATTTGGTAAGGGAAGGTGAGAAGTTGTTCCCAAGCGCGTAACGAGTTCTCCTGTGTTGCCAGACGGACATAATTTGCTAATTGTTGCGCAGCTAAAGGTCTGGCACCACGGGGAACACGTTTAAGTACAGGGATAGATTTTTTAAATTTTGATAATCTTTTCCAAAAGGGGTCTGTCAGAATAGGAGGAGTAGTGTCGATAACGGGGCTGAATGTACTTTGAGATTTGTGAACACGTCCAATGTGTACATTCAGCCCTCGCTTACCTTTAAAAAAGCGAGCCTGGGAACATAGCGGGCATCTTTCCAGAGAATGCTGCGACGCTGAAGGGTGACTACCAATTACACCACAGTCCGCACTCGTAGTTGTGCCTGACATAGACTAAAAACAAAAAGGAAAGAACACTTAAATTATACTAAATAAGAAAAAAAATTTACAGAATAATTAAATATAAAAGTAAATAAATGAAATAAATATAAAAGTAAACAAATGTCGACCGCTTGACACGCTCCGGCGGCGTAGGGCGCCGCGCCACGCCGACGCGCTGCGCCGCGCCTCCACGCCGCCCATGCCCATAGAAAGCTAAAAAGCTTGTTGAAGTTGTAGCTGTACTTAGCTGCACTTGTGTAAGGTATTTTGTTTATACTGGTGAGGCCAAAATCCGATCAGTACCCGATTTTTCCGACCGGAAAAAGTTCATACAGTCCGTCAGTTCTTAGGTCTTGTAAGCTATTTCCGTAAGTTTATCCAGAACTTTGCTGAGCTTGCTTCACCGCTTACGAAACTCCTAGTATAAATCAAAGTATGCAACAGACAGGGCACTTGTATTTCACCTTTAAATACATTCTTAATAATCACAATCACGTCCCGATGTAAAATAATATACTTTCATGTACAAATTTATCAATAATTCACTATTTTTAGAAATAATTTAGGTAGAAATAAATACCTAGTTGTTTATACGCGTTGCTTGGCAACCGATTGAAAAATATTATAAATTTAATATAAATTGATAAAAAATCTGATTTCTACCTTTACGAAATCACGGTCTCATTGGAGTACCTAACGGTCAAGTTAAAATAAAAAAGAAAAGCAAAATATTTGTACAGTTTTCGAAGTCTGAACTAAGAATTAAAGATTATGATTTTCACATCTAATGGTCACATCGTACCTGTTGATGTGATGTGGCCACTGCTGACCTTTTTCTCACACGAAGAAGGTCTGAGCATTAACCACCACGCTAGCTCAATGCGGGTTGGCGATTTCAAACTTATTATTAGAAATTATAAGCCTAGGTTTTCCTCGCGATGTTTTCCTTCACCGTTTGCCAATGGTGTCTAAATAATCTAGAAAGTACATTTAATTCGGAAAAAGTCACGTTGGTACTTACCGATGGTTGGAACCCACTCACCCCCGTACATAAGAAGCAGTCTTAAACGTCCGGGCCACCACGTCATATAACAATATAATTGTGATGTTACTTACGTGAAATCTTCTTTCTTCACAGGACTGTCCAGCCCGAAGAAGCCGTAGCCTACTGCAACACCCAAGATTCATCCTGCGTCTTTGTTGAAACATCAGCGAAAAAGAACTTCCACGTCGACGATCTCTTTTATGAACTCTTCGTGGTCGCGAACCTACCTTTAGAAATGGCCCCAAACCACCATAAAAGGGTCAGTACTGCATTCGGCAGCCCTTGCACTTTACCCCCAACCAGTAGCCAAAGTAATAGGAGTAAGAAATGTACCCTTTCCATCAAGAGAAGATTATCAGACGCTTGTGGAGTAGTAGCTCCAAATGTTAGAAGGCCCAGCATCAGAACTGACCTAATGATAATGAGAACAAAGACTTGTGCCAAAGGAGACACGGACAGTACGAGCGGGAGCCCGAAGATAACCTTGAACCGGCTTGTAAGGTCTTCGGGACAGAGTGAAAAGCGTTCATGTGTTATACAGTGATATTTAATGTTAGGAGACTTGGTCTGATGAAAGATGATCGTGTCGATAGGTGCTATAATAGGACATGGATGAATTTGTATGCTGCAAAAGTTTTGGAAACTTCGAAATGCCTCCGAGGGTCCTTTTAGGGGCGTATATTGAGATTGGTACATCAAAATTCAAGATATGTGCATTTAAAATGGTGGTCTACCAAATTACCTTCTATAATGCAAAGATTCAATTTTAAGTTTTATGTTCGACAGAAGTCAATTCTGTTGAAGTGCTGAACCAAATTGCTCTTTAAACTTGAAAGCTATTTGCATTTGATGTAGTTTGAAAACTCTCTTTATGTTAATATTAAATCATGTATCATCAAACTCAGTGCTATGCATTCTAAAAGGACATTATATAAAGTGCTGGCTGATGCGAATAACGTCTTTAATTTCATATAAATGGAGTTTGAAATGGAAAACAAAGAAAATTGTAAACACCCATTAGTGTTTAATGTTTTAGAGGTAATCAGAGATAATGGTACAATTGTTTTTTAAGTTCTACTTGGAATTGGTTCAAGTCATGTAACCCCAGTACAGAATAGATGATTAATGTTAACAATTTATTGCTTTAAGTATGAGGATTGCACTCATTTTTATTTTTATAAGGGTGTGTCCACATCTGGCGAATGCGCAGCTCGCGAGCCGTACGCGAACCGCTCGCAAGCTGCGCGCGTGCAATTAGGCAACGGTTTGATGCAGCTTGCCAGATGTGGACGCACCCTTAGATAATGCTTTTGGTTTTTGTTAGGAACAAAGAGACAGTTCGCACAAAAAACCTATCCGATCATTCTTACATTTTAGCCTATATTTGCCTTACTAAACGTGAAATCTTTGCCTCCTTCAATATAACCCAAGTCGTAAATCACGGCTAAACTGTTCGACTAAGTTACTCGACTAGTTTCAGGCCGCATCCAAAGCCCATAGTTATGAGCACCACACAGAGACTTTATTGAAATTTAGTTCTAGTATAAATTATTTTTAAACTGTGTGTACTTTGTCCAATCGCTCATGAAATTATAGTCCTAGCACAAATCTACAATAAACATATGTATAACATGTCAGATTAAATATTATAGTCAAAATCTGGCGTATTCCTATAGGTCGTCACTGTTACCTAACCAGAATAAAACTGAAAATAATATAACCAAAGATATTGCTTTCTTATACTATAATATTAAGCGGAAGAGTTTGTTTTTTTGTTTGTTTGTTTGAACGCGCTAATCTCCGTAACTGCAAGTCTGATTTGTATAATTCTTTTTGTGTTGGATAGCGCATTTATCGAGAATGGCTATAGGCTATAAAACATCACGCTACGACCAATAGGAGCTGAGCAGAGCGTGTGAAACCGCGCGGAAGTAGCTAGTTCAGAATAAAAATCAAAGGTTTTAGAAATATGGGTGTCGGAGAATGAATCGTTGTTTGTGTAAATAAAAATGTAATCATTATTTATTTTGTAGATATCTTGCCGTACTGGAAACTGTCTGTCTATCCTACAAATTTAATATATAGCACAAATTTTGCTCAGAGCTAGAATTGTTTTGTTTGCGATCCTAAAGAAAATTATCTTGTACTAAAGCCTGGCTACCTAATGTGGTTTTTACCCTATATCATTGTTGTGATGGGACCAAAAAATTCGCTGATTTCTTTATTGTTAGAGAAAAATATCAAATATATGGGGTCTCTTGTTAAAAAATAATTGTTGAGCAAATGAAAATAATTATTTACGATTGTATTATACATATGTGTGCGATATTTTTGTGTCATGTCGTGCATGTAAATAGGCGCATTATTTTATTACTGAATTTTCTCGTAAAATAATGAATATTAACATTTTTATCCAACAATGAAGTTTCTATGCAAATATCATACATCTATTTATATAAGCCTTTTATCCTAAACTACTTACTAAACGAATTCTTACCGACATATCAAACCGAAATAACCTAAAATAAAACATAAGAACATTTCAATAAGTATTTACTCCCTTATTCATATATCCTTATTCTCTATATAAGTTACTATATCTAAATATTTTTGTATAAAAACTATCGTGACACATACTAAATTAATTGAAAACAACGGGTCATTTACGTGAAGTACATGCCGCCATATATAAGAGTCCCGTTCTGACTTGAAACTAGTCGAGCTGTTCTCAATTACGTCACGTGAGAACTGTTGTTTTTAATCATAAATATATAAAAGCGACACAAAAATATCGCACAGCTACTAATTCTTATCCAAAAAAGTATTTAGCTTATTTTAAAATGTAAATGAAAAAAATGCCAATTTGTATTCGCATTGTTTATATATTACATGTATGTACTTTGTACTTATAGCTCTGTAATACATAAATGTATCATTTTGTAAAGTTTTATCTCCTACCCTCTATCTTCTTGTCTAATACACAGTTGTTTTTAATATCATGTTGTTTTATTTTTACCTGTCTTAAACTTGACCTTGACTGCCTCGTTGGCCGAGTGGTCGCAAGTGCGACTGCCGAGCAAAGGGTTTCGGCCACGATTCCCGGGTCGGGCAAAGTATTACTGGGAGTTTTAAAAAAAATTTCAGTAGTAGCACGGAGTCTGGAATTATGCCCGGTATATGGTAATAGGCACATCCCCTATTAAATCGGACTCATAACATTAACTACACTAGATTATAAGTGAACTTATAATTTGAAATGAATTAAGTGAACTTATAATTTGAAATGAATTAGTAAAATAGTGAAAAGTGAGTGTTACCATTGTACCATGTGTATACCTCTGCCTACCTCTTTGGGGGTAAAAGGCATTATATCGTGTTGAGAAAAGCTCTACTTGTTTGCGAAGGCTAAGCCTTAGAGAATTATTACGATTTTTAGTAAATTTGATACGGATAGTTTCAATCGCAAACTAAAATGGCTCTTGATTATCCCAAACTTCAAACCTTCAGGTGGTTGTCACTCAAGGGGAATATTATGTATGATAACATACATAATATACATATACATCATCATCAACAGCTTATAAATGCCCACTGCTGAGCAAACTCTCTTCTCAGATGGAGAAGGTTAGAGCATTAATCACCACGCTTGCTCAATGCGGGTTGGCGATTTCAAACTTATAATTAGAAATTATAAGCCCAGGTTTCCTCACGATGTTTTCCTTCACCGTTGGTCAGTGGTGTCTAAATAATTTTATAAAGTACATATAACTCGGAAAAAGTCACATTGGTACTTGCCACTGCCGTCGGTAGGTTTCGAATCAACACCCTCGTGCATGAGAAGCAGGCGTCTTCAACCTCCGGGCCACCACGACATCATCATTCATATTCATATGTTATACAATTATACACACACATAGGTATAGGTAAGTATCTCCTCCTAGTAAAAGCCAGTGCTCTGGGAATATGTAAGCAAACTATTCATTGTTCATTGCAAAGGCCTTTGACACAACCTAACAATGGCCGTATAGGATACCGTGGCGGTGTTGTGAAATAGTAATTGACAGGACATAATACTGTGGTTGTTGTTTGGCGAAGGGGGTAGGCAGATGTGGATAAATAGAGCTTGAGTTATGTAGCAGAGAGAGTGGGTTTATACTTTGACCAACCCTGGAATCGAACCCATTCATGTTGGATAGTTTCACCAGTAATTAACCAGGTAGTCGGAGTAATTTATTTCAGTTTGTTTTTTTTTTAAACTTTGCTCCACACTAGGATGCTCTCCTGTGTCGTGGTTGCGTTTACAAACGTACAAGTTTACATACACATGACACCCAGACCCGGAACAACAAACTGTGGATCACACAAATAATTGTTCCGTGTGGGAATTGAACCCGAGACACAGTTGCCCAACCACCGCGCCAACCGTGCAATTTAATAATCTCAATTTTTAGTAGAATACGTATGTACGTAATTTGGAAATGTGTGCAGTGTCATTCGAAAGATGTCAAAGAAGTTCGCAATCATTATGAGAGACTAGTATATTTGCACGCCATTGTATACGGCAAATATGTTTCGAACATGTTTCACTGTTAGCCGTTATCTTGAATGCGACTATTTATTGTATGTGCGTACATAATACACCGTGAAATCTATTTCGTTTTCGTCCCGTGGCAAAACAACTTGCCATAAGGAGTATTTTCTATGTTTTATAATAACTATCGTGAGACATACTAAATTAACTAAAAATCGGGATACTCCCGTGAATATGCTGAGAAAATTTCTACCGCGACCTCGCACGCTGTTCATGAGGAAGAACCCCTCTGTGGTTCGAATCTAGTACAGCTTTTCTCAGTATATTTACGTGAGTAACCCGCGATTGATAGTTAATTTAGTATTTTTTATGTAATAAGTAAAAACAAAAAATTAAATATGGCACTATTTTTAATTTAAAAAAAATCGTGGAAATATGCACATGAAACACTAGACGTAATGCGACTTTTTCCAAGTTATATGTTCTTTCTAGGATTATTTAGACACTACTTACAGACAGTGAAGGAAAACATTGTGAGGAAAACTGAGCTTATAATTTCTAATTATGGGTTTGAAATCGCCAACCAGCATGGAGCAAGCGTGGTGATTAATGCTCAAACCTTCTCCATGCGGGACGAGGCCTTTGGTCAGCAGTAGCCACTTATAGGCTGTTGACGAAGATGATGATGAAATGTTACAAACTAAAATATATCTTTGTATTCCAATTGCGATGCGTAGTCCTCTTTAAATAGTTCCGCCAATAGGGTTTCAAATTAATTACTGAGCTTATGTCCGTTTCCTGGTAGTGGTGAATTCAAAGCTTATTTTTGAATATGATAGTAATATCTGTATTGTTCTTTAACAATATGAAACGGTTTTAATGAAACCATTACTAAGGGTTCTGCTTGGTTGCTGTGTTTGTGGCACCAACTTCTAACCTATGAGTGGGTGTGTAAGCTATAAGTACGTATGACCAATAATAGTTATTTTTTTCTTTTTAGTTTTTACTTTTTAAAGTCGGTTTTTTTAAACGCAGTTTTTTTCCAAATTAGTTTTAATTGAGGAATAACTTTGAATATTTGACAAATCTTCCATACTAAAAACTGTCAAATGTCAATTTCATTCTTCAGTTACTCAAGTTAACTAAAAATCGGTACATAGTCTTTATAATATAACCCGTAATATGAATATGCAGGTATGTTACCTACTATGTCTAAAATCCATCAATAAACAATTCGTGCATATTATATTTATTCTATAACCGATACCCGCATTCATTTACAAACACTGCGTTTGGCAACCCTAATCCATACGATTTCAACTTTGTAGGTACAATTTAAATGAAATTCTAGCAAAAATGTTTTTTTCAACAACAACACCAAACGGTTTACGGCTCTATTTTTTTCTTTTTTAGGGTTCCGTTCGTATTCATGGATTGTGGTTCTTTCTTGCTTAGCGATGCTGGGGGAAATTATGACAAACCTTTTATTTATTGTTTAAATAATTTGAGTACCTACGTGTGTTGTTTATAGTTATTCTAAGTTACTTTATGCTGACGTAGAATCTTATAAAGAATGGTTATATTTTTGAAGTTCTACTCAAATCGTCATTAGAAAAACCTAATATTAATAACTGCATATAAAAAAATTAATCCCTTTTTCCCTTGGTCACGGCATCACACGTGAATCACTCCGGTAACCTCACTCACACGACGAAACACAACGCAAGCGTTGTTTCACGTCGGTTTTCTGTGAGGCCGTGGTATCGAGCCGGCCCATACGTGTCGAAGCATGGCTCTCCCACACTTGAAAGTCATATACATCAGTAAATAAAAGTAAGGAATGTAATGACCGTTTAAAAAATAAAATGGACATGAATGGTCAATCTTCTAAACCGCCAATAAAACCCAACAGAATTTATCTCACAGCTAAAAAAACTCAAAGAATAAGTAATTGGATCCTCTATATAAAATACCCGAACCTCAAAAGCGGTCGAATCACAAAGACTTAAAAAATAAATATTTAATTTGAAATTCTTCCACAAAATCGCCGCGAGTGCGGAACCCAACGGTTGAATCAAAGTACCTACACACAGCTAAAAACCAGTTCATCATGGTCTCGTTTTCTATGATCTTCCCGCACATTCGAAGTTCAATGTATACTGGTTTGCATAGCTTGATGTGTTATCCTGTGTGCGTGTGGTATATTCGATATACTTTTTTGCTTTTTCGAACATCCGGACTCAACCGCACTTAATGGATGGTGAAATAAACAATTTTTTATATATGAATACGAATGTATCGGTGTATGGAGATTTACCGCGTGGCTGCCATTTTGAATATTGGTGGGACAATGACTTCATTAAATCAGAAACTAAATCACTTCTTCATTTTCCTTCTCCATGCAACAAACGGCCTTTTCTCAGCAGTTATAGGCTGGTGATGATGATGGTTTTTTTTAAAACGTTGCCCCACTCTAGTATTATCTCCTGTATCGTGGGTGCGTTTACAAACATACAAGTTCACATACACATGACACCCAGATCCAAAACCACAATTTGTGGTTCACGCAAACTGCTCCTCCACCGCACCAACCGAGCAGTATTGGTTAAATTTGTAGCTACAATACATAATATGGACAAAAAATCTAACAATCTGATTAAAATTAGACCGGGACCGTGCACACTGCATAGTGTTAATTTTTCGTGATTTCTCAGAGTAGTAAAGATATAGAGGTCTTGGTAGGTATATGCCATAGTTAGAGGTCCTGCGAACGGGGAGCATGGGTGGCTCGCCGCCCGACCAGAACCAGACCCAAGGGTACGGCGCGTCGCGTTCCTCGCGCGACCACAACAGATGGGGCCCAATAGGGTTGATGCCGATACGCAGCCACGGAGGACATAACGGGTTGCCAAGGCTTCGGCTCGAAGGGCAGGAATAGGAATGGCGTGGTTTTTAGTCAGTAAGAGTCTGACACTCCCTCCCGCCTCACCCAGTCGGGAGAAGTCATTCGATGATTTAATCCCTTTAAAAAAAGGCATAGCTGGAACTAAGTCTTTCCAAAAAAGCATTACCGTTGTTAATAAAAGTTCCGAACTACCTCATATTCTACAATTTTTTGGCATTTGGCAGAGACCCAAATGATAGCCATACGTTGGGACAATGTTACGTGAATCACCTTTATGAGAACAGTTTGGTCTCTAAGCGATAATCATTTAGAATTCTCGGGTACGCACTCTTTACGACATCTAGGGAACTGGTTTAGGACTAAAAAAATAGAATTTTGGGCCCAAGTCTTTCTTTTTCGATAAATGTGGCCTTAGATTAGGATATCCTCCTGTGTCATGGGTGCATTTATGTAGATGATTGCGTTTTGTTGACATCTCTCATCCATCTGTTTCTCTTACTTACTTACTTCTCGAAGTATGGCAGCAAAAAACCAGGAAGCTTATAGTGTACCCAGCAGTGCGTCGTGGCTCAAAGAGCTATCAGACCACCACGGATGGGGCCCAATACTGATGCCGATACGGAGTCGCAGAAAACCTAACGGGTTACCGGGGCCCCGGCTCGAAGTGCAGAAGTAGGAACGGGGTGGTTTTTAGTTACTAAGAGTCTGATACTCCCTCTCACCTCACCCGGGCGGGAGAAGCTATTGGAAAATGTTCCCCTTCAAAAAAAAGACCTACCTACCTACTACCGCAATCTTAAAATTTTCATCTAGACTAAAATCTATTTTTAAACGTTAAGAAATTTTGCAATGTCATCCACTTTGATAAGTGTCGTTGCCTGAACCTCCTCAAAAGATGGGAAATATAAGATAAGTAAACGGTAAGCACTTTCTCCTGAAACCTGTAATCAATACCTGTGATGTTTCAGAAGTAGATAGGTAGGTATCTTAAGGCTGTTGCATACATACCTCTACAATTTTAGTTAAACATTACTATTTTGGCATCGTATAGGTAATCATTAATACGACCATAAAACGTGAGCAATAAAGATGATAGTTGTTTGATAAAAAATCAAAACGACGTATCTATTTGATATTGTTTCTGATACATACACTTACATACATACATAACTTCACGCCTGTCTCCCATGGGGGTAGGCAGAGACTAGGGAATGCCAATTACTACGATTCCTTCATACCTCTTCGCTTCATCAACAGTTATCAATCTTTTCATGCATGCTCGTCGGTTAAGGCTACTTTTAATTTGGTCCTTCTTTAAAGAAAAGTGTGGATTGAAAGATGATGTAGTGACAAGGATTAAAAAGCGAATGTTACGCTGGTTTGGACATGTAGAAAGGATGGATGAAAGTAGAGTAACGAAAGAAGTATACAGAGCGGATATAAATGGGGCTGTCTGTAGAGGGCGTCCTAGACGGACATATAGTGACCAGATTGGCGATATATTAATAAAATCTATTGTTTCTGATTAGCTGTGAACGTTGCCAAAAGAAAACTGGTTAGTTTTTTAAGAGGAAAAATATGTCAAGGATCGACTAGATATATAGATTTCTGTATTATAATTATTAGAAGTCATAAGAAGTATCAATTTCGACTTAATAACATTTAAGTCGACGTAAAAGTCGCATGTCTGCGCTAGCCCTTACAACGTTTATCTAAAAGTAGATTTTGTATTCAAAAATATTAATCGAAGATCGAATTTCTAAAGATTTCCTTCGATAAGAAAACTTGGGTTTTTTGTTACAACATACAAATTGAACGCTCCGTTCGGTTGATTGCAAAACTAAATGTTAGATATTTTATGAAAGTAATCTGGAAGAATAGGCAGATAGATTTAGTTGGTCTATTTTTGGAATAGGTATTGTATAATCTGTTTAGGTCATTTATAATAGAAAACACAAGAATAACCTATTAATCATAATGTCCAAATTTAGTGCCTATAACAACTAGACAAGACAAGCGTGGAAAAGCCATGCTTCGGCACGAATGAGCCGGCTCGATTGGAGTGATACCACGGCCTCACAGAAAACCGAAGTGAAACAACGGTTTCGTTGTGTTTCGTAGTGTGAGTGAGGTTACCGGAGGGCCAATTACCTCCCCTCCCTAGTCTCCACAATCCCCGAATCCTCCACAATCCTCAAATTATCAATTCCCAAAAGGCCGGTAACGCACTTGTTACGCCTTGGTGATTCAGGTGTCAATGGGCGGCGCCGATTGCTTACCATCAGGTGATCCGTCTGCTCGTTTACAGACTTATGTCATAAAAAAAACCGGGACCCATAGCCATTTTTAGAATGCTATATTTTGTTTTGAATGCAGCCGAAACCACAACTTAGATCACAATAAGAATTGTTTCATGTACAGAATCGAACACGCGATACATTGCACATCAGATCACCTACCATTATTCTCCGAGCTACTTTTGAGAGTTGTGTTTCCAAAACGTCTTAAAAACATCACTAGAATCATGATTAGCTATCAAATACATATAAAGCGAAGGCACTTTGAAAGAAACTTAAACAAAACTAGTCTTTTAATTGTTTGTGCTAACAAAAGCCCACGATTCGTATAGAACAAACTTAGAACCTAATTTAAAAAGAAAATAAATCTATCTCGACCTGCCTGAAGTGCGACACAGATGATGCGTGGTATCTGTCACTCGTATATCCTACGTAATATTTCCATCTCCCACACGCATTTGCGACTAACTTCAGAGCGTTTAAGTACTCTGTTGATTGAACTGAACTAGGGAATCTATAAACTAATTCCGCTAATCATTAAGTCCTTAATTAGGTTTCTTGATTGGGTATTTTTATACTTATTCGATTTGTTGCAAAGACTATGAATATAAAAAGTTTTTTGAAACTTTGTAAGTACCTACTCAGTTTACTAAACATAACATCACGCCTTTTATTCCCGATGGGGTAGGTGCACATTACGGCTTCATGCCACTGCACAATGTAACACGCACTTTTCACTATTTATGTTATGAGTCCCATGTAATAGGGAGTGAGCCTATTTTTATATACCGGCCACATTTCCAGACTCCGAATACTGAGAATTTTTTAAAACCCAGTACCTACTACTTTGCCCGACCCGGGAATCGAAACCGACACCCCACAGTGCGGCAGTCGCAAAAAAAATACATATAAACATTATTGTAGAAAAGTCAAAACTGTACATTGAATATTTTTTAAAAAGAATACATAGAGCGTTAGTACAATCGATACCGAAGCCAAAAATATGATTTTTAGAATTTTTGTCTGTTTGTCTGTGTGTATGTCCGGGATGATCTCAAAAAGTAGGTACTGCATGAATTTATTTCAAATTTTGCATGAATATTACTAACAGATCGGGTCAACATATAGGCTACATGTATATTATCACGCTATCACCTACGGTACTGAATCAATTCTGACGACATTCATTAACGTGGAATAAGTATCTCTTGATAAAAACTAATTCAAAAGCCTAAATTCTGCCAGAGGTCATAATTCTACGCGGACGAAGTCGCGGGCTACAACTATTTGATAAAAATAAAAAGAAATTGAATTCCAATGAAACAGCTTAGTCCTCGACAGACAGAGACCAATCTATCTTCGAAATTGAAGAAACAACAGAACTGGAATTGGATAAATTATTGTAAAAAAAAAATAAGAATCAAGGTCAATGTGAATTAAGAAAAAAGGAAAAGTCTTACAATTCAGCATAGTAACAAAATAAGTAACAATTTATTATATACTCTATTGCAAATACACAGAAAAATTACTTTGCATTGTAATAGTAATTTGAGTACAATAGGCGGTCTTATCACACGCGGTGATTTCTTGCAGACAACCTTTGGATGGAATTTTAAAAAGAGAATCTGAGAATGTAAAAGAAAAAACAAAAATAGAAAAGTACTTTGTAAAGATAATTAAAAAAAATCACATTACGTACTCGAAGTTGTTTTGTTTTTTATTTTTCGGTTTTCGACAATTCTCTTGATAGATTCTGGAATTATGCCCGATACTTACAGGCATAGGTACTGACAAAAATACAGTCGACTAACATAATCACAGGGAAATTATGACAAAGCCTGCCAGTCAATAATGATCAATTTGGAATAAGGGTATTGGGGTAAAACCATGACACATACAAGGAAATATAAATAAAGGTACAAACAAATAACATTCTTAAGCCATTTAATCATCAGTTCTTCACATTGGAAATATCAATACGAGTACCAGTCTTTTATTACAATACCTCTAACAATTCGAAATACTAAATTAATTAAAATATATACTTACATGAACTATGCTAAAAAAGTTCTACTAGTTTCGAGTAATATGAATATGAGCCCCAGTATGACTTGAAACTAGTAGAGTGTTCAGTAAACCATATATTTCAATTAACTTAGCACATATTTGACATTAATTAATATTAAAAGATCTAAGTACCTACAATTTTATTTCGATTTTGAATTCTCTTTCGGACTCTTCTGTAAATTCTTTAAAAGAAGATTGATCAAACGCTTCTGCAGTCTTTCGCCATTTATAGAAGACGTGGCTTGTCTAACTTGATCATAATTAACTTTAATTTCATCTATCAACATCATCGTTTTAATTTTAAACAGTCTTCTTTGGTCTTCTGTCATCGTGTCTATTTCTGGTAAAAGACTTAGAAGAAACATTTTCATAGCATTGTTATTTGGATTTAAGTCATTGTTTGCGTTTCTTTCTAATGATGTCATTGGTTTACTTCGTGGCCGAAGGTCTGCGTACGGTTTTTTCACTGGTATAAACCGCCGTCTCTTTCTTGTAACCGCAGGCCTTTGTCTCAATAAGTCGCTAAGAATCACATTATCATTACTTTCTTCCTGGTTCTCATCATTGTCATCTATTGGTTCTGTCTTTATTATTAGAGTTTCTGGTTCATTTGCATGTTGAGGGGAATGGTACTGAGTTTCATCTGCACTCTCAATTCCTGAAACTGTTGGCTTCAAATATGGCACTATGAATCTCAGATATTCTGTCAAATAGTAGGGCTTTTTTATTTTTGTACCACACTGTTTCATACTCCGCAAGAACGATGATCTTATGTTCCGCCATTTTTCTTTGCAATCGCTTACTGAAATGAGAAAAGAATATAATTAATTGAGAGATAAGATAAGGAACAGACGGCTAACTGCTGGCTGTTTACCAAATTTTTGTTAAATAATCTAGTCGAGTTTAATAATAGCGCCATCTCTGAGTCGCCCGGAAAAACAAATGACGGTCGGTCAGTCGCGGGCCGTCGCGTCGGCATTGTGGTATTTTTTATACATTTTACAGAATGAGTAAATAAATAATTATAAAATAAGTTTTAGTAATTTAAATTAAATAGTTCCCTAACAGTATTACTAAATGTGTTTTTTAGGGCGAGAATTGAACCCGCGCCGCTCGGCGTGAGCAGCTGCGCTATCATAGGGTACACCAGGTGACCGGCTCCAATTATTATTAACTTATTAGTACTATAAGCCAGCGGTAATTTCGACTTTTGTAATTCGCAATTTAGTAGGTATGTGGGTAACTTCAATGACTTAACATGTAAGAACAATGTGTTGGTAACTGTGTAACAAAACAGCTTAGATGTTTTGAATATATTTGTGTATATAGAGGTAATAGACTACATAATTATTCCAAGGGGCATTTAAATACCTACTTTTACAAGAAATAGTCCCAAAGTAATCCTTACTATCTAGGTATTAGAGCTCATACTATCTAGGTACTTCAAAACTTTATAATTATGTTACGTTAAAGTTCACGTTAATAAAAACACACACGCAATAAAAATATGTGTTATTGCCAACGGAACACATAGGTACCGTACGTATATAAAACCTGGCCGCACATTGTTCCCGTCATTCAACTATTACGGCACGTGTGACATTGAAACATCTACACAACACAACAAACTCGCGATAACCGGTATCGAATACATCACTCGCTCACTGCGCCACTTTATATAACAACACAACCGCTTTCCCCACAGACCGTGCGATGTATATCTACCAAGGTGACGTCACCAGACGGCGATGCGCACTGTCGCACGTACACAATTACTACTTACTTGACATGTTAGTGCTCGCTGCAATATCTTCCCAAGCTTCTTCTACCAGATCCTTCCTATTATACTGTGGTAGAAGGAAATTATACAGGAGTTCATGTTTCTCAATTTCGTTTATCAGTTGTATTTCGACTGCCATTTTGGTTACGGCGCGGCGCGGAATAAATGCGTTATGCTTCGTGGTAAGCGTTAGCGGCACTGCGTCACTGCCGATAGGTTGCCGCGCCGAGACTGAGTCGCGTCCCCCCCGCGTCGCGCCGCCCCCGTGCCGCACCGCGCTCGGTCATGCTCGGGCGTACCGATGCCGACCGTGAGCCGACTCGGCGGCTCCTACGGTTATCGACCCAGAGCGAGACAGCAACAGCTAAACATGTCGCATACATTACCTACATATCTTCACAATATTTATAATGAATGTTATCGCTTGTTAACAACTATTATTGCAATTTGACAGTGTTGCTGCATTGATTAGTTTATTACTATTTCAAAGGCAACTGTTCTGTTTCATTCACGAACGTTGATTGGTTGGAATGCTAGGAATTGAACCCGTGTGACTGCTCAGACGCATATTTTGACAATGTTCTTCATGTTGCGGTATCTATGGACAGGACATGAAGACATGTTTATTTATAGGTAGGTACGGTAGATACTTATTTTATACAGAGCTGAAATAATTTAAAGGAGAAATTACACGGATAATCATGTTTTTCTTTTTATTTTGTAGAAAATGAAGTTTTATTACGTCTAAGTTTAAAATCATTAGAAATATTTGTATGCATTTATATAATTCCTAATTATATCCTCACTAAGGATAAAATAGCGCTAATTAATTTGTTTGTTTGTTTTTCTACTGCCCAGTCCCCGAGCGAACACCGGTGACCGCTCTGAATTTACTCTAATATAGACTTTATTTCCAATGTTTAGAGACTACTTTTGTGTTAACAAATAATGTGGATTTTTCATAATCAGGTTTTAGGAAGTTAAAGTCACAGCATATTATAGTTTTTGGGTTTTTGTGTCTGATATTAAGGAGATTGGAGTGTGATATAAGCTATATTTTCTCTGCTTCGCTGGCCGAGTCTCGGATTCGATTCCCGGTGAAGACAAAGTACAACTGGGCTTTTTAAAAAAACAGCAGTAGCACGGAGTCTGGAATTGTGTTCGGTATATGGCTATAGGCTCACCCCTATTACATGAGACTCATAACATAAATAGTGAAAAGTGGGTGGTACATTGTACAGTGGCATTAATTGATGTAATGTTCACCTCTACTTACCCCTTTGGGGATAAGAAGCGTGATGTTATGTTATGATATTTAGTGCAAAGTTTCAATGTGAACGAGGATAGAATCCAGGCGTTGCCTCCAGTTTATAATTAGGTAGCCTACCTACCGCTTACCTATTTGTAAGTCATCTATCAATCAACATATTATGTCTAGTTTATTTTACCTACAAACAGACATTCCAATTTTATTTATCTGTATAGAGCTAGCTAAAAGATTTTTAGTGTTGACTTAAATGTTCCTAAATTCGGTAGAAAGTGACAGAACATAGATATAACCGGTGCAGGGTTTTTTTTGTGAATAAGATTGTAGTAGCTACAGTCTTTTGTTTAGGTCGCTTACGACTGTAGTTCAGGTAGCCAGGAACAATTCGGTTTGCTGTTTAACCGGGCATTAAAGGAGCGTAGGTATCTGTCGTACGCATAGATATAATAAAGAAGGTCGTACGATACGAATGTTCATTTCTCTCGTTTACCCATTCCTTGACGCATTGTTTTAAATTTTTTTATTAAATATTATATGTTATGTTTTAAGGTAATAGGGTAGTCTCCTAAATTTTATTTTAATGTCCGTCTGGTACATTAATTTAAAACTTTAGACACTTATTTTTTTTCTCACAAAATTAAAAACTTTCGACGATATATTAATTTGAGATATCGTGTGACGTCACAGCGTGCCACATTTTGTAGCACGTTATGACGTAACGACCTCCCACTCCTTAACTTAGCGCCATTTTATATATGTATTGCAACTTAATAAGAAAAAATAAAAATATTCGTGACCTAACATTTTTTCATTATCTAACTGACGGACTAATTATATTTTTAATTTTGATACATGTAATAGGGGGTGAGTTTATTGCCATATACCGGACACAATTCCAGACTCCGTACTCCTACTGAGATTTTTTTTAAAACCCAGTAATATTTTGCCTGGAAATTGAACCCTTGCCCGCCAGTCGCACTTGCAAACACTCGGTCAACGAGGCATTCGTAAATTAATTAATTTTAATTAAGTTATATGTTTAGAATATAATTCTATAAAGCCATTCAACAGTTGATTGCTGTAGTGAAGAACTGCAAGCATTCAACGAATGAGTTGGCTTTTCACAAGGCTCGTGGTACTCAACCAATTTATGTGGAAACTGGACGTAATTAGACCTTTTTATTCGTACGACATTATGAAAGGTTTTAATTAACGATTTCCGTGTGTCTTGTTAAATGTGGTTCACTTTTAAATGGCATTTCTATTTAGAACGTACCTACATAAGTTAAATGCAAAACATCATCATCATCATTATCAACAGACTATAGGTGGTCAGTGCTGACCAAAGGTCTCTTCTCACACGGAGAAGGTTTGAGCATTAATCACCACGCTGCTCAGAGCGGGTTGGCGATTTCAAACTTATAATTAGAAATTATAAGCCCAGGTTTCCTCACGATGTTTTCCTTCACCGTTTGTCAGTGGTGTCTAAATAATCTTAGAAAGTACGTATGACTCGGAAAAAGTAACATTGATACTTGCCATCGGTAGTTTTCGAACCTCTCTCTCAAGACCTCTGCCTTTGTTTAACAGTATGCATTTATAGGCTCTTGATGACTAATGATGATGACTCTTACCATAGCTTTCTATACTCAGACGGAAAACCTAACGGGTAACCGGGACACCGGCTCGACGTGCAGAAGAAGGAACGGGGTGGTTTTTAGTCAGTAAGAGTCTGACACTCCCTCCCGCCTCACCCAGGCGGGAGCAGTCATTCGAAGATTTTCCCCGCTTAACCTTTTGAGCGCCAGGGTCACAAATACGTGACAAGCGAAAACTGTCCCTGAGCGCCAACGACACAAATATGTGACAAAAACAGCGGTACATTAAAACACGAAATAAACTATTTAAACATTACTTTAATGCCTATTTATTTATATACCTGTAAAATAGAAGGTCCAAAATTTATTTATTTCCATAAAACTAATTAAATTGCATTATAAATATTGAGAAATTTTACGTTTAAAAGAAAGAAATAAACTCTGAAAAAAGAATGTCCTCACACGCCAGAGTCATAACTGCGTGACCGCTAGTGATGTAGCGCATGTTGGATAATATCATTATTTCAAATCAAAGATCGATTCGAAACTTTCCTCTGGAATATATTATTTTAGGTATAATTTGGTACTAGGATGAAGCAGCATTAATTTTATAAAACCAGTCTTAAAAATCATTCAATAAGCTACATAGTCAAAAATAAAATTTGGTTGGGTCGAATTTCGATATTCACTAATCCCAACTCAAGCGCATCCCTAACGCAACCCGAATTATCAGTACCCTGTACGCCATGGTCACGACTAGACGACAATATCGTGACGTCATAAGCGCGGCGACCAGAAATTAGTGAAGTGAATGAATAATATTTATGATTAATTTACTTGTGATATCGAGTTCAAGATTTATATTAAGTGACTATTATAATGAGTGGGAATTTAATGACTACGGAAGAAGAGCGAGAGTATTTGACTCGAAACTTTTATTCTAAGTGTGGGCTCCATATTTACCTACATATAACTTCGTGGAATAAAGTCTGCCAAAAGTTCCTTTTTTAGCCACGGTGCGCGCTGAGATCGATTTCGCTGTCCCCACCACCCACTTTGCACCCAGCGAATTAGATGATCAGAATGCAGGTTGCATTGTAGATTTTGTATAATTTTGTTCTATTATTCAAAAGATTTATTAGTATAAGACTGATTGGTAATTGTGATAATTATATATAATCGTTCATTGTTTTAATTTGTTACTTTTTATGCCAGGTTTATAGAACTTAATATTTAAAAACATGTATACATAGTACATACTGTATAACATTTTATTAAAATTTTCTATTTTTTCATAGTTTTTATTTACCTTCTTAATCTGTCAAACACCAAGCGGTCACCGGTGACCGCGACCTATTGTTCTTTAATTGTGTCTATAAAACCGGTACTCGACGAGTTAACCTATTTCAATCATATATTTTTAAGTACCTGTTACATTCGGAATTATAAATCTGATTTAAAAAAACGTGTTTCATTTATGATAAAATAATATTGTACTAGAACATCGATAAACGAGATATTACGTTGCCACATCCTTATTTCGGAAGCGAAGTAGTTATTAAAATGGCGGGCCGTCCACGCCATGGTCACAATATGAAGACAGCAGATCAAGAATAGTGTTGTACCTACAGTTATTATATTTAAATATATTGTAGTCTCATATCTGTTATTACGGTATTATACAAGTCTGTAAATAGTGTATAACTATTACTTTAATAGGAAGAAATGTAATGTTGAATTAAATTTCAATGTTATAAGGACATTATATTTCGAAATTAAAGACGAAAATGAAAATAAAATTGATTATCGATGAAGTTTTGGAATCCCTATTTTTTTCGTAGGTATTTGCGGTGAATTTGTGGCCTGGCGTTGAGGGCAAGTTCATGCGTTTTTGCTCTGGCGTTCAAAAGGTTAAAAAAAAGAATGCTCAGAAATTTTCGACAAACCCAAGAATGAAACTCGAGACCTCTTGCTTGTCGTTGCACTACCATCCATTCCTGCAAAGAGCCCAAACATCAAAACTCCACCGAACAACTTTAGTCTGTAATAACAGTCGAATTCAGGGGTGCATCTAGGTCAAAAGTGCTTCAACCGGAGTGAGGTTCCACAAAACTGTAGGTAATGATGACTGAATTAATTGTGGGGCTTTCAGACCTCACCTTCGTACACCGTCCTAATTTTATGTTCTGTTTTACGTCTAGTTTCTATAACCTATCTATCTGTAGATTTGCTTACTAGAGATAGAATTTTGACACATTTTGTATGTCAAAATTC